CCATTAGGTCTTTTCTGCTGGAAACACCCAGGCCCAGCTGCATGGGGAAGGAGGGAGAGGGAGTCTCGGCTGGGTGTCCTCTCCTGTTCAGAGATCACACCTTCCTCATTAGAGCCGCCTGCCTGGCTCCTGCCTTAGTACCTTCTAGTTGCCTTCTGTGAGCCTCATGGGGGCCACGCTCAGAGCTGATCTGTTCAACCCTGAATCCTCACGGAAGGACCTCCCTGAGAGCAAAGCCTTGCCTTCCCCATATGTGAACCCCAGCACAAGCCCAAGCTGGGCACGTAGCAGGTGCTCAGTAAGTGCTTATTTCAGCTGCTTTGCCCATCCTCGTGGAATGACAACAGGCATCTCAGGTTCATGGAAGGCTAGGGCTGGAAGGGAACTTCCACATCACTGAGTCCAACCCTTATTTCACAGAAAGAATGACGCCCCCATTAACAATGCTACAAATTGTAATAGCTAGTATTTTCAGAGCATTTACTGGGTGCTAGACAGGATTCTATGCACTTTGTATGTACTGATCCATTGCAGCCTCACATAGACTGCTCTTTTCATTGCCCCCAGATGAGGAACTGAGACAGAGAGGTTCAGTAACTCACCTAAGATCACAGAGCTGGTCAGTGTTAGGATCCGGATCCAGACCCAGCAGCCCGGCTCCAGAGCCCTCACCACGAATACGCCACTGCGCAGTGTTAGAGAAACGCGCTGCCAGCACACACTCGTCAGTCCCTTCCCCGAGCAGCGAGAGGGGTCTGGGCCAGACCCGAGAGTTCACTCCGCGGCAAACACAGCTGTTCCGTCTCTGTATCGCCCTCTTGGCCTTCAGTCAGGGCCTGGTAGGGGCTTGGAGCCGGTTTTTAATACAGATGAACTGTTCTCTCGCCTCCTCTGTGAAACAGATCTTAGAGCAGGTGCCTCCTCAGCGGCACCTTAGAGCAGGAAGGGACCTTGGAAAGCAGTTTACAGAAATGGAGGCCTAGAGAGTGGAAGTGGCTTAGCCAGTTCTCCCCCTCCCCCTCCAGGGCTCTAACCACACCAGCAAGGTCTCCAAAGAGGGCTGAGGTGGGTCAGCTGCCCCCTCCTCCCTCTGCTAGCTGTGATGTTCCATCCGGGCCACACTAACTAACGGGCTCTCTGCTCCCGCCAGCTCTTTGTGATTGACAATGGTGCGGACGACTGGCGGATAGCCATGACCTATGAGCGCATCCTCTACATCAGCCTGGAGATGCTGGTGTGCGCCATCCACCCCATTCCTGGCGAGTACAAGTTCTTCTGGACGGCGCGCCTGGCCTTCTCCTACACGCCGTCGCGGGCGGAGGCCGACGTGGACATCATCCTGTCCATCCCCATGTTCCTGCGCCTGTACCTGATCGCCCGCGTCATGCTGCTGCACAGCAAGCTCTTCACTGACGCCTCGTCCCGCAGCATCGGGGCCCTTAACAAGATCAACTTCAACACACGCTTCGTCATGAAGACCCTCATGACCATCTGCCCCGGCACCGTGCTGCTCGTGTTCAGCATCTCACTGTGGATCATCGCGGCCTGGACCGTCCGAGTCTGTGAAAGGTATTCCCGTGGGTCCTGTTCCCCACTCAGCCCAGGCCTTCTGAACGCAGAGCCTGGGGTGTGATGGGGGATGGGAGGGGGAGCAGGGGTCCCAGGAGGCATATGGTCTGATGGAGGAGGCCATCAGTTGCTCAACACCTCTGAGGAGAAAATGGGAAAGGGATGGGCGGAGTCCGGGCTGAATAGGAGCTGCAACATGGCAACACCAGAACCAAGGTAGGTGGGGAGAAATGCATATAGTATTTTGTCATTTTCTGTTCCTTCTTTGTAAACCAATATATCAAAGCAATCTGGTTATATCATTAACCCTTTCTCATGTCTAACACTTTGCAATTTCTGTATTATCTCTTCCTTTTAGAGAGTAACGATGCTCACCAGCATTCTAAAGCCTCTGAGAAGTCCTGCCATAATGAAACTGGTATAATTTTGTTTCATGCAGATATTCTCAGAAGTATTTACCCACAAACCCTTTTCATTTTATATTATTGATGGCTCGCTGCTCAGACCGCAGACCCCAGCAGCAGCATCCCTGGGAACTTGTTAGAATGCAGAACTAACGAATAGAACTTGCATTTGAAAAACTTTACCTGCTGATTTATAAGCTCCTAAAAGTCTGCCAAGCACTGTAGTGATGGAACATACTTTGGGAAACATTATTTTAGGAGGCTATGGTTGGGCAGTGACTCAGAGAAGCAGCTGGTGAGAGAGGAGGCTATCGCCTAACAGAGATCAGAGACTCTAACGCATGCTGCCAGCCCCTCAGAACAGTCATTCCCTTGAGATAGGAGGAAGGTATGTTGACTTGAGAGAGGTGATTTTTATGATGCTGGGGGCCTGGTCAGGCAGCCTGTGTAACTTACGTGGATTCTTGTAGTCACCCTTCATTCATCAACGCATGATTGTTTTGCCAAATCTTCCATGTACCAGTGTCCCTGCAGAGATAAAACAAGAAAGAAGACGTCCAGAGGATAGTTAGCCTAAAAACATCTCACATGGGTACACTGAACCAGATTTCCCACCTATTTCCAGATGTTCTGTTTATAGACATTTTTTTCAGATATTTGGTGGTCAGCAGACAGAGTCAAACTGGAAGGGCATTCTTCTGCAGCAGGACAAAGGTGCCTAAGCATGGCCAGCTTAGTCTCTGAGAGCCAGGGCAGCATTGGGAGGCATTTTTTACATATAGGGAGAGCCCCAGGGACACATGATACCCAACTGTTCAGAGCGCCACCTTTACTCAGTAGCTGACATTGCCACATCGGCTCTAAGGGGGAAACCACACTTCACAGTGCTTCCTGAGCCATTTCTGGTAACAGACACTCTCTACAGTGGAGAAAGCATGTGTTTGGGTTCTAACTCCAAACTCCTCATGGTCTTCTTATCTGAGCAACATTGTGCCAGTCACTTCAACCTCTCTAGGCCTGTCTTCTCATCTGCAAGCTGAGGGTAATAATGCCTCCTTTAGAGGATTTGTTGTTAGAATCAAACAAGATAGTGTGTGTGAACCATATACTGCAGTACAATGATAGTGAAAATTAATAATAGTAACAGAGATCCCTTGATAACTCTTGGGAATATTGTGGCTGCCTGCTTATAATGAGAACCAATTCCTACCTATGGTAGTCCATGCTCTTTCTACCTTCCCTCTAATTGATCAAAGCCAAGCCCTCTAACAACAATTAAATTCACATAGTCCTTTAAGATGTTTGAAATCTTCCATATCCTCAGATCAACCCTGTTTGGCACATGTGGTCACCCCACTTTTCAGATGGACAAATGGGTTGAACATGGAACAAAGTACATTAAGTGAGTTTCATTGTTTATTGAACCTGTCACAAGTATGGGTGCCTATTTGTTACTGGAAAATAAGTGAGCTTCTAAGTGGGGTGTTTGCAAAGTACTCTGTTGAGTTTTATTTGGCACTGAATGGCCCTCCAAAGCTTCCGAGCTGAGGCCGGGTTACCCTGGCTCCTGGCCGACCACCAGGCCCCTGTCTGCAGGCATGACTGACAAGCCGCAGCTGAAGTCCAAAGACTTTTGCAAAGGCCCAGGGGAACGATGTGCAAATTGAAAGTTCTGAAGTTTCCCCTTCTCTTGTAAGGAGGCCCTTTGACCAAAAGGGGGTCTGCTGAGCTTTCACAGGAAGTCTATTAAAGCCATGGTGGGTGTGAGGGCTGCCCCTGTTTCACCTGATGCCAGACCTGTGTGAAATGCTGCATGTATGTCATCTCCGTTTGCCCTCTTAATAGGCCTATGATGGAGGCACCATTTTAGGGTTGAGGAAACCTCTGTGAAGGAACTGGCCCAAGGTTACAGAGCCAGTAAATGTGGAGCCAGGATCTGAACCTGATTCTGCCCCTGAATGTAGTCCTGTTTGTCTCACCTTCCCAGGCTGAATCCTGCACTAAAAAGGAAACTGTGGCCTAGACTCTCCTGGCAACTTTCCTGAGCTGAGAGTCTCAAAGCCACTGAGACTGACACTTAAATCCCAGTCTTGCTGTTTTGCCTGCCTCTGATGTCTGTGTTCTTAACCATTTTATCACACTGTCTTCAGGGTGGACTTTATGTTAAATTTAAACACGGCCGAGGGAGTAGGTGCCCTGGTGCAGCACTGTCTTGCCAGTGAGTTTCAGCCCTGGGCAAGTTCGCTGTGGGTTCAATGTGATCAAAGAAATGACAGCAAACGTTCTTGGGGTGAAAGGGTTACATCCAAGTTTATTCCCAGGTGGCAGGTCAGTCACTAAAATCCGGTTCACTCAGAGCAAGTTTGCATGCAGCAAGCCGGTCTCTGCCTCTGGGCCCCTCTGTCCGCACAGCCATCCTGCACAGCCGTCCTCTGGGCCTCTGTCCTCGGCGCTGCCACCACTACAGCCTCTGCTCTGCTTTGCTGCAGCCTTGCAGCCATGCCACTGTGTTGTGCCCAGAGCCCTGGGCGGAGCTCTTCATATACAGTCAACAGCCATGTATTGCCCACAGGTGTTCAGTGAGCTAGTCAACCAGGGCCAGGTGAGAATCCTGGCCACAGGAACTCTCATTTTATCCACAAGCACCCAGATGCCCACGCTAGGCCCAGGATCTCATTCCCTCAGCTGGGCTTGTCTGTTCTCCAGAGGCCAAGTCTCTTTCCTCTCCCAGAATTGCCCTGGCTGAAGGGAGCTGCTTCAGCCAAGGTCAAACCCCCTGTCTAGGGACAACAAGCCTCCAGTGACTTGTCAGTGTAGGAGTTCAAAGGCCAGCCCTTTATCTCCAGCAGGATAGCTCTGCAGGGTCACTCTGGCCCTGTTGAAATGCATGATACTTCACCTTCTCCCTCTGCCCAGTCCCACTTTCCTCAGGCCCCACAATCCTGAGAGCAGCCCCAATAACCTCTCGTACTCAAATCTCAGTCTCAGAGACCCTTTCCCAGGAATCTGACCTATGAAACTGTGAAAACGTATATGAATAAGTATGCTTTTTCCTCATCAGGCAAAGCACTTCTCTTAAAAAGACAAAGCAATTTCTTTTAGAACCAAGCATAAAGGATCATTGTCCTTTCCCAACGTCATGGAATAAGTAAGATTGTCAGAGACCTCAAGACAGGAATCATTCAATCATAGAGGTGGGGGCTGCTTTTCCAGAGAAGCATCAGACTAGGGTGGGTGGATGATGTGGGCAAGATGACCTTGATCTCTGTTAGCCCAATCGGATGATGATTCTGTCACCTTAGATAGAAGAGAGGGTAAATGACCTGCCCAAGGTCACATAGCAGCGTGACTGGTTCTAGAAAAAACGCCCATGTGCTAATGCCCAGAGCAGGGCTTGTTCACATTCCAGGTGGCTTTCATCAGCCTGGACTTATCTCTGGTTGTATACACATACTTCTGAAGTTGCTATGGAAATCCCTCTTCAGCAAGATGCATTTTAAAAGACATCTCTCATATCTTGGTTCGGCTTTTATGTGACAATAAAGGTTTTTCACATTTCCTCCTCCCAAGGAGAGAGAGGGAATCAGTAATTACCCCGAACAGCCGGCTATTGGGAGGGCAGCGCCTGGTTGCTGGGAGGGCAGCGACAACAGCAGGCTTGTTTTCCTTGGACCCCAGTGAGGCATTACATCATGGGTTCCGAGGCCTGACAGTTGTGGCACTCGGCATTCTCTGGGATTCTCCTGGCCGCTTGCCCGCCTCCCACAGGCCTCCCAGAGCTCATGCGAGGAACCTCCTCATTAAACACTGTCACGCGCCAAGCAGCCTTGCTAGTGGAGAAACCATCCGAGGCTCGGGTCTCCGCGGGCAGCAGGTTGGGGAAGTGGGCTTTCCTGGCACACCCTCCACAGAGGTCTGCCAGCTCACACTGGTATGTTTGTCACCCTGGAGGGGCAGCAAGGCCTCCCCAAACACCGATTAAATGGGCTGAGTCTTGTGATCCCGAGCCAGGTTTTGTAGAGGACCTTCCAACCTTGTGAATGGGTTCCCTTTGGACCCTTCCCTCCTGAGGCACCACTTTCTGCATGCAGGCTGTCCCAGGGTATCGGGACTTTTGGCCTGTGAACAGGTCTTTGGTGATGGTGGCATGAATTTCCACCTACTTCTGTATTTTGGTATTTCAATGAGAAATTTGATTCTGGAGACCTGACTCCTGGAACTGGAGGAAAACAATTTGTGGCCCATTCTTTCCCTGATGAAAACAGCACCCCCACCTCCACCCCCATTGTAAGGAAGATAAAGAGAAGCTTCCTTCCTCCACCTGCTCCTGCCTCTCTGAGGCCCCCAGGCCGGCACCAGCCAGAAGCCAGGGGGCAAGAATAGCTCCCTTGTCCTTCCCACCACCTTCCCACAGACTCCTTCCACCTCTGGCCGGGGAACTTCGGCTCCAGGAAGGGAGGAAGCACATTAGATGGGGTTGACACAAACCCCTAGGTAGGGCCCTTGTGTGCTGGGCAGAGTGGAGAAGAGCCCCGAGAACAGTGGCCCAAGGACTGTGGTTTCTCACTGGTCCCTTTGGTTTGAGGCACGACCTCC